GAGAATTTTACAAGCCATGAGAGAAAGGAATCAGATTATATATAGGGGAAAATCAGTTGGGATAATGGCAGATTTTTTCATCATAGACCCTAAAAGCTAGAAGATCCTGGAACAACATCTATCAAGCTGAAAGAAAATGGGTGCCAACCAAGAATCTTGAATCCAGCAAAAGTAAGCTTTAGATTTCAAGATGAAATAAAGTCCTTCCATGATAAACAAAAGTAAACAAGAATTTATAGCTAGAAAACCAGCCCTACAAAACATCCTTGGAAAAATATTCCATGAAGAGGAAAAGAAAAACAACAATGAAAATCAAAAGAGGAAGGTAGTACCCCAAAGGAAAAACAAATCAAAGAAGAAAATCAAGTCAAGTTAAATAACAAAAATAAACAAATATGGCTGGAAATACAAACCATGTCTCAATAATAACCCTGACAGCTAATGGATTAAACTCACCAATCACAAGACATAAGCTAGCAGACTGGATTAAAAAAAAAAAAAAAAAAAAAAAAAAAAAAAGACCCAACAAGATGCTGCCTCCAGGAGGCTCATCTGATAGAAAAAGACATACACTGACTGAAGGTGTAACGTTGGGAAAAACCATACCACTCACATGGACTGTACAAGTAAGCAGGGTTTTCCATACTCATATCAAATAAAGGAGACTTCAAGCCAAAAGGAATGAAACGGGATAAAGATGGACATTACATACTGCTCAAGGGAACCATACACCAAGAAGATGTAACAATCATAAATATATATGCCCCAAACAATGGTGCAGCTATGTTCAAACAAACTCTTCTCAAGTTCAAGAGTCAAATTGACCACAACACAATAATGTTGGGTGAATTTAACTACACCTCTCTCACCACTGCACAGATCTTCCAAACAAAACTTGAATGAAAAAACTATAAAACTCAATAACATAATCAATAATTTAGACTTAACTGACACATATAGAATATTTCAACCTGCATCAAACAGAAACACCTTCTTCTCAGTAGCACATGGATCCTTCTCTAAAATAGAACATATACTATGCCCCAAAGCAACTCTTAGCAAATACAGAAAAGTAGAGACACTACCATACATTTCATCAGATCATAATTAAATGGAATTGGGAATCAAAAAGAAAATAAAAAGTAAAAATTTCCCCATCACCTGGAGACTAAACGATAGGCTACTGAATGAACAATGCATTGCAAAAGGAATCAAGGAGGGGATTAACAATTTCTTAGGGGTAAATAAGAACATAGAAACAACCGATGGAAATCTGAGACACTATGAAAGCAGTACTAAGAGGAAAATTCATTGCATGGAGTTCATTCCTTCAAAGAAAAAAAGAATTAACAAATAAATGACCTCACACTACCTCTCAAAGCCCTAAAAAAATAGGAACAAACCAGCAGCAAAAGCAGTAGAAGGCAAAAAATAATTAAAATTAGAGCTGAAATCAATAAAATTGAAACCAAAGAAACAGTTGACAATATGGACAAAAAAAGTTGGTTCTTTGAAAAAATAAAAAAAATTGACAGACTCTTAGCCATGCTAAAAAAGAGAATGAGAGAGAGAGAGAGAGAACTCAAATTACTCATATACATGATGAAAATGATAATATTACAACAGATATGACAGAAATACAGAGAATGGAAGACATTGAAGCTATCAACAAATTTCTTAAGTCATACGATCTGCCCAGATTGAATCAGGAAGACATACACAATTGAAACAGACCAATATCAAGTGATAAAACAGAAAACAGAGCTTACCAAGATTGTGCAATATGATTAAGTGGGATTCATCCTAGAGATGCAAGATTGGTTCAACTTACACAAATCTATCAATGTAATTTATGACATCAATAGACCCAAAGATAAGAATCATATGATCATCTCAATAGATGCAGAAAAAACATTTGACAAAATACAGCACCCCTTTATGTTCAAGACACTAGAACAACTAGAGATAACAGTAACATATCTCAACATCGTAAAGGCTATCTATGCTAAGCCTCAAGACAACATCATTCTAAACAGAGAAAAATTGACGGCATTTTCTCTAAAAACTGGAACAAGACAGGGCTGCCCTCTTTCACCACTTCTATTCAACATAGTTCTTGAAATGCTGGCCAGAGCAATTAGACAAATGAAAGGAATCAAAGGGATATGTATAGGAAAAGAAGAACTTAAATTGGCACTATTTGCTGATGATATGATTCTATATCTAGAAGAACCAAAAAACTCCACCAGAAAAATTCTAGAACTGGTAAATGAATTAAGCAAAGTAGCAGGATATAAAATCAACACCCATAAATCAAAGGCATTTCTGTATATCAGTGACAAAGACTCAGAGAAGGAAATGAGAAAGACTACCCAATTCACAATATCCTCAAAAAAAAAAAATACTTGAGAATCAACTTAATGAAAGAAGTAAAATATCTATACAATGAAAACTACAGAACCATAAAGAGAGAAATCAAAGAAGACCTCAGAAGATGAAAACATCTAACTTGCTTTTGGATACGCAGAAATAATATGATCAAAATGACCATACTACCAAAAGCATTATACAGATATAATGCAATTCCCATCAAAATCCCCCAGGCATTCCTCATACAAATAGAAAAAGCAATCATGAAATTCATCTGGAAAAATAAGACATGCAGAATAGCTAAAACAATCCTTAGACTGATGTAGGTGGCATCTCTATACCAGATCTTAAACTATACTACAGAGAAATAGTAGCAAAAACAGCATGGTGTTGGCACCAAAAGAGACTGCTAGACCAATGGAACAGAATAGAGGACACAGACACTAACCCAGAAAATTACAATTATCTCATATTAGACAAAGGTGCCAAAAACATGCACTGGAGAAAAAAGCATCTTCAACAAATTGTGCTAGGAAAACTGGAAATCCATAAGCAACAACATAAAATGAAATCCCTAGGTCTCACCATGCACAAAGTGCAAATCAAAATGGACCAAGGACCTAGGAATTAAACCAGAGACTCTGCATCTAATAGAAGAAAAAGTAGTCTGTAATATTCATCATGTGGGATTAGGCCCCAACTTCCTATAGCCCAAGAATTAAAACCAACAATGAATAATGGAATGGAATCAACCTAAAAAGTTTCTTCTGAGCAAAAGTAACAATTTGTGAGGTGAACAGAAAGCCTCCACCCTGGGAACAAGTTTTTACCCCTCACACATCAGACAGAGCACTAATCTCTATTGTATATAAAGAACTCAAAAAGCTAAGCAACAAAAAAACAAATAACCCAATCAACAAATGGGCCAATGACATGAACAGACACTTCTCAGAAGAGAATATACAATCAATCAACATGTATAAGAAAAAAATGCTTATCCTCTGTAGCAATTAGAGAAATGCAAATCAAAACTTCTCTAACCTATCACCTCACTCCAGTCAGAATGACAGCTATTATGAAGACAAACAACAATAAGTGTTGGTGAGGATGCGGTGGGGAAAGGTACCCTCTTACCTTGCTGGTGGGACTGCAAATTGGTGCAGCCAATTTGGAAAGCAGTGTGGAGATTCCTTGGAAATCTGGGAATGAAACCACCATTTGACCCAGCAATCCCTCTCCTCAGACTATACCCAAAGAACTTAAAAAACACCATACTACAGGGACACAGCCACATCAATGTTTATAGCAGCACAATTCACAAGAGCTAAACTGTGGAGTCAACCTAGATACCCTTCAGTGGATGAATGGATTAAAAAAAGTGGCATATATACAAAATGGAATTTTAATCAGCAATAAAAAATAAAATAAAATCATGGCATCTGCAGGTAAATAGATGGCACTGGAGAAGATAATGCTAAGTGAAGTTAGTCAATCCCCAAAAAACAAATGCTGAATGTTTTCTCTGATATAAGGAGGCTGACTCATAGGGGGTACATAGGGGGAGCATGGAAGGATTAGATGAATTCTAGGTAGGGCAGAGGACTGGGAGGGAAAAGGAGGGGACAGAAGATTAGCAAGGATGGTGGAATGTGAAGGACATCATTATACAATGTACATGTATAAAGACATGAATTAGGTGTCAAAATTCTTCATACACAAACAGAGATGAATAATTGTGATATATATGTGTTATAAGAATTGTAATGCATTCTGCTGCAATTTCTTTATCCAAAATAAATAAATAAATGGATAAATAGCAGACGGGTTTTCCCAGATGTAAATCCTTTTTTAAAATTTTTTTTTAAATATTTATTTCTTTATTTATTTTTAAGTTTTCAGCGACACAACATGTTTGTATGTGGTGCTGAGGATCAAACCCAGGCCACACGCATGCCAGGCGAGCACGCTACCGCTTGAGACACATCCCCAGCCCAGATGTAAATCCTTTTATGTCTTTGAATAAAACTGTCAAAATTAAGTACTGCCCCTGGCTTATCCACAGGATTTTCTACAGTATTTTTTTTTTTTAATACAACTGAACAAAACTAAAACATCTGAACCCTGGGTATTTCTTACTTGCATAGGATTTATTCATTTTGGCATGAATCTTTCCAAAAGAATCTTTCTAGTACTCAGAGTAAACTGCAAAAATTAAAAGATTTCCCACATTTTTAACATTCATAGGGCTTCTCTCCATGAGAATTTTCATAAAAGAGAAGAAAAATAGGTGTAGAACATGAACCTGATAGAGTACAGCAAATCGTCCCCATTCAGAGTGTTTGTTTTCCAGTGAGGGAAATGGCTTTGAAGACAACAGGGAAAATGGAAAGATTTGCCATATTTTTTTCATATTTAAACACTTATTCAGCCAGATGTGGTGATGTATGCCTTTAATCCCAGAGTCTTGGGAGGCTTAGGCTGAAGGATCACAAGTTTGAGGCCAGCCTCAGCATTTTAGAACAACCCTAGGAAGCCAGCAAGTCTCTGTCTCAAAATTAAAAATATAAAAAAGAATGAGGATGTGTCTCAGTGGTAGAGGGCCACCAGACCAAATCTGCAGACAAACCTACCTCAGTACAATATTCAGCAGAGTGAGCAGTGTGTTTGAAGGGGACAAGAAATATTGATCCACCACATTTCACATTTAAAGAATTTTTCTCCAGTAAACTTCCAATATGTTGATGAGAAGAACAGTAATAACAGAAGACTTTGCCAATTGTTTTCATCAGTACAATTTCTTTGCAATATGAGTTTGTTCATGTAAGTGAAGCTGATGGGATATAGCCAAGGTTTTCCCCCATTGTTGACATTCATAGGGCTTCTCTCCAGTATGAGTTCGCTCATGTGAGCAAACATGAGAGGACTCAGTGAAGGCTTTGCCACACTGCTTACATTGATAGGGTTTCTCTTGAGTGTGAGTCCCTTCATGTCTGTGAAAGAAAAAGCAAGAAAAAGACTTTTCCACATTGTTGGTATTCATTAGGCTTCTCTTCTGCATGAATACTTCCATGTACGTGAGGTTCACTGGACGTGTCAATGGGTTCTCCACATTGTTGATATTCATAAGACTTCTCTTCAGTATGCGTTTTTGCATGTCTGTGAAGATGATGGGATTGAGCGAAGGCTTTGCCACACTGCTTACATTCATAGGGCTTCTCTCCAGTATGTGTTCTTCTATGAATCTTAAGGTGACTGGATGTAGCAAAGGCTTTTCCACATTGTTGACATTCAAAGGGCTTCTCTCCCCTATGAGTTCGTTCATGTCTGTGAAGCTGAGAAGATTCAGCAAAGGCTTTGCCACACTGTTTACATTCATAGGGCTTCCCTCCAGTATGAGTTTGTTCATGTTTGTGAAGGTGAGAAGATCTAGCAAAGGCTTTTCCACACTGCTTACACTCATAGGGCTTCACTCCAGAATGTGTTTGTTCATGGATGTGAAGGTGAGAGGCAGTACTGTAGACTTTTCCACATTGTTGACATTGATAGGGCTTTTCTCCACTATGACTCCGTTCATGTCTGCGGAGGGCAAAAGAAAGTTGGCATTCATTGGGATTCTCTCCAGTATGGATTTGTTCATGTATCTGAAGGTAAGACAAAGTAGTGCAGGCTTTTCCACACTGTTGACATTCATAGGGTTTCTCTCTAGTATGTGTTCTTTCATGTCTGTGAAGTTTAGAGGACTCAGAGAAGGCTTTGCCACATTGTTGACATTCATAGGATTTCTCGCTAGTATGTGTTCTTTCATGTCTGTGAAGTATAGAGGAGAGAGTGAAGGCTTTGCCACACTGCTTACATTCATAGGGCTTCTCCCCAGTATGAATCCGCTCATGTATCTGAAGGTAAGAAGAAGTACTGAAAGCTTTGCCACATTGTTGACATTCATAGGGTTTCTCTCTAGTATGTGTTCTTTCATGTCTGTGAAGTTTAGAGGAGTCAGTGAAGGCTTTGCCACATTGTTGACATTCATAGGGCTTTTCCCCAGTATGAGTTTTTTCATGTCTGTGAAGTTTAGAGGACTTAGTGAAGGCTTTGCCACACTGCTTACATTCATAGGCCTTCTCTCCAGTATGCGTTCGTTCATGTCTGTGAAGGTTAAAAGAAGTAGTGAAGACTTTTCCACATTGTTGACATTCATAGGGTTTCTTTTTCATATGAGTTTTTTTATGTGAGTGAAGGCTAGACGACAGAGCAAAAGCTTTGCCACACTGCTTACATTCATAAGGCTTCTCTCCAGTATGCATCCATTCATGTCGGTGAAGGGAAAAAGAAGTAGTGAAGAATTTTCCACATTGTTGGCATTCATTGGGCTTCTCTCCAGCATGGATTTGTTCATGTATCTGAAGGTAAGATGAAGTACTGTAGGCTTTTCCACATTGTTGACATTGATAGGGCTTCTCTCCAGTATGTGTTCGTTCATGTCTGTGAAGGGAAGAAGTAGTAGTGAAGACTTTTCCACATTGTTGGCATTCATTGTTATTCTCTCCAGTATGGATTTGTTCATGCATCTGAAGGTAAGACAAAGTAGTGAAGGCTTTCCCACATTGTTGACATTTATAGGGTTTCTTTTTCATATGTGTTCTTTCATGTCTGCGAAGTATAGAGGAGTTAGTGAAGGCTTTGCCACACTGCTTACATTCATAGGGCTTCTCCCCAGTATGAGTCCGCTCATGTATCTGAAGGTAGGAAGAAGTACTGAAGGCTTTCCCACATTGTTGACATTCATAGGGCTTCTCCCCAGTATGAGTTTTTTCATGTGAGTGAAGGCAATTGGACCGAGTGAAAGCTTTGCCACACTGCTCACATTCAAAGGGCTTCTCTCCAGTATGCGTCCGTTCATGTCTGTGAAGGGAAAAAGTAGTAGTGAAGACTTTTCCACATTGTGGGCATTCATTAGAATTCTCTCCATTATGGATTTGTTCATGTCTCTGAAGGTAAGACAAAGTAGGGCAGGCTTTCCCACGTTGTTGACATTCATAGGGTTTCTTTTTCATATGAGTTTTTTTATGTGAGTGAAGGTTAGATGATTGAGCAAAAGCTTTGCCACACTGCTTACATTCATAAGGCTTCTCTCCAGTATGTGTCCGTTCATGTCTGTGAAGGGAAGAAGAAGTAGTGAAGACTTTCCCACATTGTTGGCATTCATTGGGCTTCTCTCCAGCATGGATTTGTTCATGTATCTGAAGGTAAGATGAAGTAGTGTAGGCTTTTCCACATTGTTGACATTGATAGGGCTTCTCTCCAGTATGCGTTCGTTCATGTCTGTCAAGGGATAAAGAAGTAGTGAAGACTTTCTCACATTGTTGGCATTCATTTGTCCTCTCGCCAGTATGGATTTGTTCATGTATCTGAAGGTAAGATGAAGTAGTGTAGGCTTTTCCACATTGTTGACTTTCATAGGGTTTCTCTCTAGTATGTTTTCTCTGATGTATTCTAAATAAACTTTGGTAAGCAAAGTCTTTCCCACATACGTTACATTTAAAAAGTACTTTCCCAGTGTGCATGATCACGTGACTGTGAAGACTTGTGGGTGAAACCAAGGTTTTACCACCTTCTTTACCTTCATGGGATTTCTCTCCAGAATGAGTTCTTTCATGTTTTCTAAATAAAGTGGGGGAATGAAAGGCTTTCCCACATACCTCACATTGAAAAGCTTTACCTCCCCTATGTGTTCTTGTGTGTCTTTGAACATCTGTGGGAGAAGATGAGGCTTCATCACGTTGTTGACATTCATCAGGTTGCCACCCAGTATGAGAATCTTCATGCCTTTCAATGTCATTGGAACAACTGGTGACTTTCCCACATACTGTACTTTCATAGGGTCCATCTCCAGTTTCTGTTAACATTTGTGTGTGAACACTTTTGAGAGAAACCAGAGATTTCCTGTATAATTTCAATTCACATGGCTTCTCGTCACATTCTTCATGCTTGTAGCACTCGGGTTCATAGTGAGATGTGATCTGCCTATGAGGAATGAAGGGCATATGAAGTCTTTGGCACACATAATGCAGTCACATGAATTTACTCTATTAAAATTTTTCTTTGCTTAAGAATTGGTATCTCATGACTAGCACATTATTAATACTTGATTAATTCATGATGTTGTATTTATTTAAGATCCTAGGTTAACGTTACTTCCAACATGAGGTAAAGCCTTGGTTTTTCAAACTTGTTCAAATTGCCAAAAAATAAAGAGATTGAGAGGAAACAATGCTTTGCAACACAGCTTGCCTATGGTCATTATCCAAACAGTTATATTCACATACACAATTTCATAACACTTTTTGCATGTCAAGCAATTTGAATAGACTTAATATCATTTTATATATATATATACACACACACACTCACACACACACAAGTTTGTTTCAGTTGACAGTAGACTTTATTAATTTAAATGTGGTGCTAAGAAGAGAACCCAGTGCCTCAAGCATGCAAGGCAAGCTCTCTACCACTGAGCCACAACCCCAGTCCCAGTGAAGTATATATTTCTGGTAAAATCTTATAAGAATAAATACATTTAAAGTTGTGCAAATTTCTTGCATTGGTTTTAAAAATTATATGACATCCCCAGATTCCCTCAAGGATTCCTCATGTCAGTACAATTACCTTAGATTGCTTCCAAAATTTTTGATCTGATTTTCAATGTTCTTCTCATCACATTTGTTTCCTAAAATGCCAAACCAAAACATTATAAATTTCTAGGAGCTAGAAATGTTTTCCAAATTCATGGTGCATTTTATGCTACATTAATTCACCAACTGATTGTCTTTTCATGTTCTACATAAATTAAAAAAAAATAAACACAAATTCTATAAGTAAATACACAAATTATTACCTATAGATGCCAGGTTTCTGAGGACTTCCAGCATCACATCTCTGTAAAGGTTCTTCTGGGAAGCATCCAGCAAATCCCACTCCTCCTGCATGAAGTTCACAGCCACATCCTCAAAGGTCACTGAGATCTAAAATATCCCACAAATGTGTAGTGGAGGCCAGGAGAGATTTGACAGCATGAGAAATCTATACTCAACATGCATGATGTTCACATGATTCCCTGGCCTCTCGATTAATTCCACAATTTGGTCATTGAAATCTCCAGTGCATTTAATTCTTCACAGCCACTCCAACACTAGATTTGGGCCCACACAAGGTAAATAGTAGAGTGTTGTACACCCTTCCTTTGGTGAGTTCACAGGAAGTAAGAGGGGCTCCCGGGTCACCCTTATCTTATTTGTTGATTACATCTCTATCACCTTCCTACTAACATCCTGTGCAGTAGAGAGCTAATATTAGCACCCTCCTTATTACCTACCCTTAGAAAAGAAAGCTGCCTGAGTAGGAAATTCCTTGGATCACACAACTCAGCATTTGAGTGATCCTGCCAACCACAGTGGCTCACTGGGCCTACACACTTAATATAGACAACATGGTATTTACTAATCTCATGTTTCCTTCTGAAAGTCAATTGTTCCATCCTTAAAGAAATGCCTAGAATCAACCCCAACCCACACCCTCAGAGTATGGAGTCACTAAAGAGTATCCATCGTAGACAACAGTTAGACAATCTTCCACACCGGTTGTCACAATGTGTTCACTGGGGACTGAGCTCAACTTGCATGATTACACTGAGGACAACTAGAAGTTTGCAGGTGCTTTACTCCAGAACAAATTTACCCAATTAGTAGTCAACCACAATGATTAATAAACACAACAATATAATAATTTCTGGTGGTTAATGTCAAAGCAGAATGGGGTGTGTGGAATGATGGCATGTGCCTCAGAAAGAACTCAATGACCCCAAGATGTTACCTTGTCCAAACAACAGCCTTACAAAATTACATTCGTTTGAAAAATAGTTTTCATAACAGACAGCGGAAAATCCTTTCCCAAACCTCATGGCAACCATGAATGTTCAATGATTCTCAAACTCTTCTGAACGGCAGAAGTCTCACTCAGATCATGTACAGTCATGAGACACATACCACCGTTCTGCTCAAGGACACTTTGATCAAGATAGGCCACATGTACAATGGTGGTCTGTCATGAAAGAGATTCCTCGTTCCTGTAGCACAGCTGGTGAAAGGAAACCTCAGGCACAAGCACTTCCAGGGTGTATTAAAGCAGAGGGTGGAAGCCCAGAATCCTGAACTATCCCACGCTGACTGCTTCTGAAACAGGCCACACCATGTGGGTCTCTAAGCAGGCTATGATTTCTGCACAGTGTGGAACAGCCCAAAGGACCACTTACCAGAACACGACACTGCCACTCACAAAGAACCATGCTCAAGGACATAAGACACATGACATTTGAAGCAGGACAGCATCAACAGAGGTTAATAGGAGCCTGAGAGAAAGTCTTTAGTGGGCTGTCATTCGTTGCATGGACAAATTATGAGTGACAGCAGGTGTCTTAGAGACAGATCACAATGATGGTCCAGGCAAACTGAAATCTAAGTGGCAAAGGGTACTTCATCCATCTATCCTACAGACAAATATCATTTATTATACATTTAACTGTGAAAGACTAAAACACTTTTCAAAATTTTAAAAAATATATAATTACTACCCACCCCCAGAAAAAAGAAAGTCAAGGCTTTGACATTTCAAACAGGCTTCCAGGAGACACTTAAGACCTGCCACCAATTTTCTACTGTTATTTCCAGACAACAGAAGTTGAGATAAAACTTTCTAATTCTTTCTTTTTATATTTATTTTTTTACTTGCAGTTGAACACAATAGCTTTATCCTATTTATTTATGTGGTGCTGAGGATTGAACCCAGGACCTTGCACATGCTAGGCAAGTTCTCGACCACTGAGCCACAACCCCAACCCACCTTCTAATTCTTTACATGGCATATTTTATCATATTATTAAAATTAAATAGATAAAGAAAAGTATTAAATAGAAAACTATGAAAGACTCTCATGATCATGAATGCAAAATTCCTCATCAAACAATACTTTACTGAATCCAAAAATAAATAAAAAAAGAATTATAAACACAGCCAAGAGGAAATTATTACAGCTCTGTAAGACTGAGTGCAAATTAAAAACTCAGTTAACATTTTCCTGGTACCAGCATACTACTGTGGGAAGTCAAGCCCAGTGGCCCAGATCCACTCACATCGCCCTCTGCAGGGCCCAATTCAGAATTAAAAAAAACAATTAACATTATCCATCACAACAAAAAGCTAAATAATAAATATTGATTATATCAATAGTTAAAAAAATCAAGAAAAATGAAAAAACACACAAACTCAAAAAAACACAATGTCTTCATAGAGAGACAGCATGATCCTCTATGCTACTGGAATCCACTGAAGAATCATGAAAAACAATGATGTGACATCAGTGTTGTCATGTTCATAGACAGGAAAATTTTTATATTATTGACAGCAGGAAGCTGGGCATGGAGGCCATGCCTGTGGTCCTTGACAATCAGGGGGCCGGGGCAGGATGATCCCAGGTTTGAGTCAAGCCTGGGCAATTTTGCAAGACTCTGTTTCTAAGCAAAAAATTAAAAGTTTTGGGAATGTAGCTCAATGGTATAGCAGCCCTAAGTCCAACACCCAGCACCAAAATGAAAAGAAAAAAAAACACACACCACTTATACAGAACCAATAAAAGAGAAATACTCATATATAAATCTAACAAAAATCTGTATGACAAAAACTGCTAACTTCTAATAAAAATATCAGAGACATGGAAAATATTTGGAGATACTTTTATGTTCACAGATGGGAAGCCTCAGTTACCATCAATTCTTACCAATTTTATTTATGGATTCAATATAATCCCAATAAAAAATATTTTAAGTTATGTTTTCAGTAACAAAAGATCTAGAACAACCAACACAGTAATGAACACTCAGTTCACAGGATGAACACTACCTGAGGTTAACAGCTACTAAAAAGCTACAATCATCAAGACACAGTGGTATTTGGCACAATATAAAAATATTCCACTGATCTTTGACAAAGGAGCAGAAGAAAATCAATGGAAAATATAGTCTCTTGGACAATATTGCCAAAGCACTGAACATGAATTAACATGTAGAGAAAGAAAACATTCTCATTTCACAAATGTCACAGAGCTCCCAGTGGAGCCTCAGTCTCAAAGTAGGACACACAGCTGGGGCTGCAGCTCCAGCAAAGCACCTGCCTGGCAATTAGGAGGCCCAGGGTTCACTTGTCGGCAGCAAAAAAATTGCCTATACATTGTAGTACCTAATGCAAAACTCCAAACTTCACTAAAATAACAAAGAAATACAGAGAAATCTGGGCTGGAATGACAGCTTCATATGCAACATCAAACACATGAACTGTGAGTGAAAAACTTGTAAATAGAACTTCATCAAAACGAAGTTTGCGTTTTTCAAAAGATGCCCTTGAGAGAATGAGAAGACATGCTGGAGAACTGGACAAAATGTTGTCACAACACATAGTGACACTGGGTTGGTATAAAATATACATGAAGAATACTCAGTAAAAAATAAGCAACCAAGTTGGAAGTGGGAAAAAGATTTGGAAAGATACTCAATAAATAGGCACAGTTAACACATGTGTGAGAAGATGTTCACCTGCATATAATTAGGAAACTTCAAAATGAACAATGAGGTGCCACCAGGTACTCAACTGGAGTGGTGAAATGCCAAACACCAAAAGCTCCAAAAGACAGTGAAAACATGAATCAGCAAGCACCCTTCCCTTGCTCATGTGAATGGAGAGAAGAACACTGTCTCTGGAAGACAGTCACGCTCTTACAAAATAAACATGGTGCACTCTACAATTAATTCACCACACTCCCGGGTGTCTATGCAAATGAGGTGAAAATTATGCACAGAAAACTTCTCAGCAGTGACTACAGCAGCCATGTCCAGAACTGTCCAAAGCTAGAAGCAAGGAAGATGCACCTTTCAATGCTGAATGGACGAGCTGCAGTTTAACCAACCAAAGAACATCACCCAGAAAGTGAGCTCTGCAGCCTGCAAAGATACAGCACCCTTAAAGGCAGACTGGTAAGTGAGAGAAGCCAGTCTGAAAGGCCAAGTGCAGTAAGATTCCAAGTCAAGAACATTCCAGAAGAGACAACATTATAGATGCACTGAAACTCTTCTGTATGACATTATTATGTAGAATATGTGCCACACAAAATCACACCACACAGAGGAGGAACCCTAAGGTAAAGGATGGATTTCAGCTGATGATAAAGTGTTGCTTCATCCACTCTCTTAATCAAATGTAGGATACCGATTCAGTAACTAACAAGCATCCAACATCAATGCAAAATATTGAGAACAGTGTAGAGAAGAGTGTTTGATACTATATGTAATGGCTCATTAGAATTGTCAACCGCATTGCATTAAGAGATACCTGTGATTAAGAGGCCTCTGGGTGTGTCCGTGAGGGTGTGTCTACAAATGATTGGCATGTGGAATAGAGAACCAAACTAGAGAACCTCCTTAGGTATAGGCAGCACCATCCAATAGGATGGTGTCTTAGGTGGAACAAAAGTTGGAAGAAGAAGGAAGCAGCAGCAGTGAAAGGCCTTTCTTCTCCAATGGCTGCTGCAATGGCCTGAGGATATCACACTCTGCCTGTGATTCTCCAGGGAGTTTCCAGAAACTTTGGTCTGACTAGGGCAGCACCAGTGATCCCTCTTGTTCTGAGGCTTCAGCCTCTTGGACTCTGCAGCTACTACTTCTCAAGCTCTCTACTCTGCAGACAGCCACTGTGGACATCCAGCTTCAGGTCAAGTAGGCCAACCTAATAATTCCCCTTTTAGAATCACACTTTGTGTTGATGCTGTTCCTCTAGAAATCATTGATTAACAAACTATAAGTCTAAAATTGCTCTGAAAAACAAAATTGATTTAATAAGGAAGTGAATGAACTACCATGACATAAACTTTAACAAATATAAACATAAGAAAAAATATTACATAATGAATACCTTTCCCAAAT